TACTACTACTACTACTACTACTACTACTACTACTACTACTACTACTACTACTACTCCCGGGTGGGGTTTTCGCTAGTTTCTCCATACCGGGCGCTTCCCCAGGTGGCGGATAGGGGCATCCTCTTAAAACATGAGGTGACGATGGGCAGCTAGGGTGGCTCTCTGTGGTGGTGGTTGAGGGCGTAGATCGGGGGGCATGTGTGACGTTGGCGTGTGTATCTGCGGCGATGTGGACGGGGGACTAGTGGATGGTGTGGATGCATGGGCCGGCTCGGCTTGTGCTCCTTGTTCTTCGCTTTTTGCTGCTTCCGTAGGTGGCACTCCATTGCTTAATGCGGGCCATCAAAAACTAGCACCCGTCGTGTATAGAAGTAGGCGGCAGTTAAAACATTCTTCTAAGATACATGCATCACATACTCTCACTGAACAAACACAGGGACACCTACGGATTGTTCTGAGTTGCGTGTGGCGGGTCCTTTTCCGGGCTTGCGTTGGAGGCCTAGCGGTGCGTGAAGCCGGATGATGAGGCCCGGGTAAGTCTGGGTAACCACATCTAAAATAGCTGTATGCCTCATAAACAAAAAAGACGTGGTGGGCCGACCAATCTAGGCTTACGACCACTGAGGAGGCTATATGGCGGCACCTTAATGCCTTACGCCAGCCCGTTTTGTTGGGTTGTCTGCGCGGTCCCCGGACTGTACACCTATCGCTTATCCCGCTGGGATGACCGTTGTGTACCAACATATACACACTTTACACATAAACACCATTCTTACACTTGTTACTAAACGCCAGGGCAGTCTCCGCGGGTGGGACTGAGGGAGAGTGGCAACTCCTGGCCGGCCCAAGCAAGTAGCGGTTTTCTTGTGTAACAGAAAGGGCTGCTGCCCTGGTTTTAACCCTTTCCGAATACTTATTTCTAGAAAAAAGGGTAGTGCTGGCCTTCGCGGGTCGGAAGGATATTAAAAAAGATGCCAACATAAAAAACGTCGATGCAAAACTAGTACCCCAAGCGGTAACCTCTCTGAGGGAATCCTCCGGAGGTTCCGATCCGGTGAAAGCCCGGGTGACTTACACAGGCCCTACGGATTCAAAGCCGCGCTTAAACACCTTAAAGAGGCAAAGGTGATACGAAAAAACTTTCTTTCCGAAGAAGAAGTGTTTGCAGACTCTTGGAAGAACAAAACTTGGAAAAACAAAAACAAAAACAAACAAAAAATTACTTTTACAACTTTTTATCTGCTTGAATGAGTTAAGTAATGTTAATTTTAAGAGTGAGAAAAAAAGTATAAAATTAAATAATAAAGAAACAATATTCAGTTTTGAATACTAGTTGAATAATGCTGATGTAACAAAAAAGAAACCTGTAGATTAAAAAATAAGAATTAATTTACCTATCAAAGGTATCAAAAGAAAAGAAACATTTTCTAAAGGAAAACAAAAATTGAATATAGCTAATCTACTCACGAAAGCCAAATGCGATGCTAAAAAAAAATAAATACAGGCTGTTGCTGTAGCTGATACAACGATTAAGTTTTACTTGGCAGCTCAATTTCTTTTTTCCTTGATAGACAATCTTCAAAATCGGCTTCCGTTGGAAGTTTTATAAGCTTGATCACTGGACGCTTGAAGATTGCTGAGGCAGTCTTAATTGTGGCGATGCGAACAAGACCATCGTCCCCAGGATAAATGTCGATTATAAGGTCAAGTGGCCATTTGCTTGGTGGGCTGAGTTGGTCTTTGAGCAGCACGATGTCACCAACCTGAAGATTTAATTGTGGTGTTTGCCATTTATTAAATAACTGAAATTGGTGTAAAACCTTTTTCTTCCAGCGTGTCCAAAAGGAGTTGCGCATCTGATTCAGCAACCTCCAGCGACTGACATATTTCGGTACTGCATTGTCGTTCGAGTAAGGCTCCGGGTAAGACAGTTGTGGCGAGCCCGTCAAAAAATGAGCCGGTGTCAGTGTGGTCGGAGCAAGGGGATCACTAGCCAAAGGGCACAGTGGCCGTGAATTGAGGCAAGCCTCAATCTTGGCTGCCAACGTAGACAGCTCCTTGAAGGTTAAGGTCGCATCTCCAACGACTCTTCTAAAATGATGCTTAAAACTTCGGACAGCAGCCTCCCGGAGACCTACAAAATGTGGGGCTCGAGGTGGAATAAAAGACCACTTGATCCCTTTAGTGCTGAGTTGATCGTTGACTTCAACAGTAAAATTTGAAGATTGCTGGAATAACCTGTCGAGTTCAGATGAGGCGCCCTTAAATGTAGTCGCATTGTCCGAAAAAATGACTGAACATGTGCCTCGCCGAGCGCAAAAATGAGCGAGAGCTGCCAAAAAAGCCTCTGATGATAAGTCCGACACGATTTCGATGTGTATAGCCCTAGTTATCATGCGGATAAAAATAGCTATGTAGCCCTTCGTTGATTTTGCGCCGCGACCCTTTGAAAAAAGTACAGGTACTGGCCCTGCATAATCGAGATCAGTAGCGGCGAAAGGTCGTGTAGGTGTCACTCTTGCTGTAGGCAGTTGGCCCATGATCTGTTTGGTGCCTTTTGCTGCATAACGAGTACATGTTACACAATGATGAAATGCGGAGGTAGCAGCGCGGAGTCCTTGCGTTATCCAAAACGAAGTATTGAGGACGGAAATCGTAAGCTGAGGTCCTCCATGCAGCGTGAACATGTGAGTTTCCTGTATCAACCATTTGACCAATTTGCAGCTTCCTGGCAGGATTATTGGGTGTTTTTCACCCTCGGACAACGGAGCGTAATGAAGCCTTCCTCCAACTCTTAAAAGCCCTTGTTCGCAAATAAAAAGATTGAGCCTTCGTAGACAGCTGCGCTTATGAAGTATGCTGCCAGCAAGCAAGGTCCGTTTTTCTTCTGTAAAGTGACTTTGTTGTATGGCTCTAAAACAAAATAGACGTGCTAAGTTCAACTCAACAACTGTTAATTGACCTCGCTGCTTGTCAGTTGGTTGTCGCTTAATATTCAATCGCCAGCGAGCTATATATGCCAAGCTACGAAGTATTTTCAAAAAGTTTTTGACCCAACAGACAAACAAACAAAGCTCGTGGTAGAACGAGCGGTGACCGCAAGCTTCTCTTCTTCACAGAAAAAAGCTTGCACTTCCAGCTCCGACTGCTTGCTATGCGGCCAAGCAGATTCGTTTAGGGTGAGCCATGACGGTCCATGCTACCACAGCGAATGAGCCCTCAATTCTGCAGGAGTTAGTCCTCGAGTTGCGCAATCTGCTGGGTTTTGCGCTGACCTGACATACCTCCAAGTAGCCTTTGGAAAAGATGACAATATCTCGCTGGTACGGTTTACGATGAACGTTGGCCAGCGAGAAGAATGATTTTTGAGCCACTCGAGGACAACCTGTGAATCAGTCCAAAAGTGCATGCTTTTTGGTTGACGACTCGATTTGGTTAAAAAATGCTTGGTAAGTCGTGCTAGTAAAACTGCGCCGCAAAGCTTTAGACGCGGCAACGTTTCTACCCTGATCGGTGATACTTTAGTCTTTGACAGCAATAGCATTGACTCTCCACCTGGGGTGACAGCGAAGATGACAGCTGCATAAGCTTGCTTTGAGGCATCTGCGAAGCCGTGAAGGTGCCAACTTGCGTCAGGTTTTACCCCCAACCATTGTGGGACTGAAATCATTAAAATGTTGCTCAGTTCCCCGCGGAAACATAGCCAACGATTAAGAAGCTGATCCGTCACCGGGGTATCCCAATCGAGCTTGAGTAAAGTGAACACATATATTTGTTGTATTTTATATCTACTTAAACACGATACCCGAATTACGATCTTTGTAGATATTTTTTCACCGATAATGTGTAGTAGTGATTATTGTTTCGACGTTTTATTTGTGAATACTTGTGTGTGTGTGTATGTGTGTGAACGAACGTTCTTTACGAAATTGTTATCTATAGTTCTCGTTTTTATTAAATAGTTTGGTAAATAAATAAGTATCGGTGCGTTTACCAATAGAACGATTGTTGATCCTTTGTCATGCACAGTGCAAGCTTTTTTGCATCTAAGCATTTAATCTGTGTCCTTTTCCCGCGTTTGTATACATTTCAGAATTTATGTTTCATGAACTAATACATTACTGAACTACTTTTTTTTTTTTAACGATCACTTGGGTGCCTGGCTGAATTCGTTATACTCAACTATCTCATGTGTTGAACAAACTTTTAGCCGGGTATGGTAAAAAATCGTATACGCTCCTCGGGAACAAACTATGACATGGATCCAACGTTTCGAACTTGGCTAATTGGACCCCAAATTCGCAATTAGCGATCCATAATCACCTTGTAAATCAAACTTGACACAAATCGATCGATTATTAATAAATTTTGCCACCATCTTGGATCCGCCATCTTGAATTTGGCTAATTTAAACGCCGGATTCGTGATCAACGACTGAAAAACCCCTATTTACCAAATTTGGTGCAAATTCATTCATTTTTACCATGTTTTTATGTACCCTGAGTAATCGGACTACCGAAATTAAACATATATATACCATATACAAATATATATTGAATTTTTCAACCTCTGAGAAAAACGGATCCTTGAAGCCTATAATCTTACGAACAAAATGAGACCAAAATCAGGAGGATAGAGTGAAAATCTAGGGGAAACAAGAATTTTGACCGCTTTTTGGGCTTTCTGGACCACTGTGCGCCGAGCCGCAAGGCCTCAGGTCTGGACATGGTGCCGTCCAAAGTCCTCAAGGTTATAGCCGCGGAAAAACCACACGTGTTTCTGGACATGTTTAATGCGTCTTTGCGCAACGGGCTGTTCAGTGAGCGGTGGAAGATCCAAAGACTTGTCCTTCTAGACAAGGGTTAACCACCCACCTTGGTCCCATCGTCACTCCAACCTTTGTGCATGCTGGATAATGCCGGAAAAATGCTCGAGAGGCTGATACAAACTCGTCTAAGAGGAGAAGTCAGTCCCTCGGATAATAAGTACGGGTTTCGAGAGGGACGATTGACGGTCATGGCTGTGGCTGAGGTCCTCGAGTCGGTAAAGGAGGCATGAAAACCCTCACATAAGATGAGAAGTGCCTGTGTCCTGGTGACTCTTGACGTTAGAAACGCTTTCAACTCAGCCAAATAGTTCGACATAATGACGGCTTTCAGTTGCCAGAATGTACCGGAATACCTTATAAAGATATTGGATAGCTATCTTCAGGATCATGTACTCCGGTACGACATGAAGGATGAACCAAGAGAGGGGTGCCTGACGTTGGGAGTCACACAGGGCTTCGCCCTTGGCCCTGACTTATAGAACCTAGTTAACGATGAACTTTTGCGCCGTTAAATGCCTCCGGGGGTCAAGCTGACAGACTTAGCTGATGACATAGCACTGCACGTCAGAGCAAGATCCCGAGAGGAGGCCGAGCGCAAGATTCGGTGGGCGGTCGCGATAGTGTCGGAGTGGGTGCGGGATCACGGTTTTGTACTTGCAATCGACAAGTTGGAGATAGTCGTCCTTACCAGGCAAAGGTGGTTTGGTGGGGACTTTTGCCTGAACATTGCGGGTGAGGCAATCTGCGCAAGCCCAATTGTGCGCTACCTAGGGGTGTGGGTCGACTCACAGATTACCTTCTAAAAGCACGTTTAAAGAGCAGCTGACAAAGCCGCCAAGATTGCGGGAGTGCTAACACGGTTAACGCTAAACGTTGAGGGGCCCGGGTGGGGTTTTCGCTAGTTTTTCCATACCGAGCGCTTCCTCGGGTGGCGGATAGGGGCATCCTCTCAAAATATGAGGTAACGATGGGCAGCTGTGGTGAATCTCTGTGGTGGTGGTCGACGGCGTGGATAGGGAGGCGTGTGTGGCGTTGGCGTGTGTATCTGCGGCAATGTGGACGGGGGACTAGTGCCCCATGTCTCCATTGGTGTGGATGCATGGGGCGGCTCTGCTTGTGCTCCTTGTTCTTCGTTTTTTGCTGCTTCCGTGGATCGCACTCCATTGCTTGATGCGAGCCAACAAAAATTAGCACCCGTCATGTATAGAAGTAAGTGGTAGTTAAAGCATTCTTCTCAGATACATGCATCACACACTCTAATTAAACAAACACAGGGACACTTACGGATTGTTCTGGGTTGCGTGTGAAGGGTTCTTTTCCGGGCTTGCAATGGAGGTCTGGCGGCGGGTAAAGCCAGATGATGAGGCCCAGGTAAGTCTGGGTAACGGCATCTGATATGGCTGTATGCCTCATTAACAAAAAAGATGTGGTGGGCCGACTAATTCGGGCTTACTACCACTGAGGAGGCTATATGGCGGCACCTTAGTGCCTTACGACAGCCCGTTTTGTTGGGTTGTCTGCGTGGTCTCAGGACTGGACACCTGCCGCTCGTCTCGCTGGAATGACCGTTGTGTACCAACAAATTCATACATTTACCACGAACACCATTCTTAAACTTGTTACTCAACGCCAGGGCAGTCTCCGCGGGTGGGACTGAGTGAGAGTGGCGACTCCCGACCGGCCCGAGCAAGTAGCGGTTTTCTTTGGTAATAGAGAGGGCTGCTGCCCTGGTTTTAACCCTTTTCAAATACTTATTTCTAGAAAAAAAGGGTGTGCTGGCCTTCGCGGGTCAGTACGACACTAAAAAGGTGCCAAAATGAAAAACGTCAATGTAAAACTAGTAATTCACGTGGTAATCTCTTTAAGGGAATCCGCTGGCAGTTCCAATCCGGCGAAAGCCCGGGTGACTGACGCAGGCCCCACGGAATTGGGAAGGGGGCACAAAGACTTGTCTCATGGCCATCAGGGACTGCTTAATGTTCCATGGCCCTTTCTAACGGATAAAGGACGAAGAGGAAGTCTGTCGAGCATAGGCACCAACGACACCGAGGACAGCAACATGTCAGTATTTAGCGACCAGACCCAGGAGATCCTTGCCTCTTGAGAACAAAGTTGTGCTTAGCTCAGAGTTAAGCGACAGCAATTGGCTGATAAAGTCCAATCAGGAACGAAAGATATTACGAAGACGCTACAATGAATAAACGATAAGTACGGATACACAGCGAATGCTGTTAAGAATGGGCTAAAAGCCGCGCTTGAACACCTTCAAGAGGTAGAGGTGCTAAGAAAATGCTTTCTTCATGTCGAAGAAGTGTATGCGAACGCTTGAAAGTCGTCATTCAAATCCCTGCAGTGTAGGAAACAAAGGCGAGATAAGTTCCGACGGCAGGTACAGAAAAGAACCCTGAACAATGCCCTAAAGGATATAGAAGTAAAAGAAACAGGAGCCCATAGGACAGCCCTGAGAAACGCTAGCAAACCATGCCTCCAAAGAAAAAAAAGACAGGCAGTGGCAAACAAGAAGAAATTCTCCCGAACAAAAAAACAAGCCAGAAGAAAAAAGTGGATGCGACAACAACAGTAGTAGTAAAGATGGCCAAAGGGCAGACCTTTGCAAAGGTGCTGAGGACGATGAAGGCGAACTTTGACCCTGATAAGGCTAAAGTGGCAGTCCAAAGTGTTGTTACTACAAAAAAAAGAGACATACTTATTAAGGCGAAAGGTGGAGAGAATGCTTCTGCATTCTCACAGCAAATTGACAAGTTGGTAGCCGGACAGGGTACTGTCAAAATTAGCAACAGAAAAGTGACATTAGAGGTCCGAGACCTGGATTCCATCGTAGAGGAAGATGAGGTCAAAAAGGCTCTCGCTAGGACTTTTGGACATCAGAGCTAGGAGCCAGAAGTTGCTCTCTTAAAGCCAAATGTCAGAGGACAGAGGCTGGCTTTAATAAAGGTGGACAAAGCATCTGCCAGACAAGTAGAAGAGGGAGGCAGGTTACGAGTTGGCTTCGTAAGCTGCTGAATTTAAAGAAGAATTGAAGTAACAACATATTACATATAACTGTGATATGGGGACGTCTTAGGCAGTTGTAAAGATGAAATCATATCCAAGCTTTGCTTCCGGTGTGCAAGCTCAAATTACCGTAAAAAAGAGTGTCCATGCCCAGCACGGGGCTTCCTTTGCCTAACAACGGACAATAAGCACGAAGCAGGCAGCGGAAGCTGCCCTTTATTTAAAAGAGCCTTAAAAGAGGCCAGATATAAGGCCCACGGAGGATAAAAATAAGGCAAAAAGGCCTTGAGTTGAAAGACAGGCTCATGTGGACCCATGCCGCGCTGGGTACTTTTTACCTATCAGCAAGGGAAAGCATTAAGCTTATAGTGGTGCTGGCTTAGTAGGCCGCCTACTATCGAGCGTTAGACAAGGTGCTGGTCCTCAGGTACTCCGAGTTCTTTTCAGGACTCGAGAGCATCAGCACCTCTAGCAAATGGTGGCGATTTAGCTCGTTGATGCTGTGAGACGCGATGGTCTCCCTGGTGGCTCCACCCTGAAGTAATGCTAACGTGGTTCCAGGTTGGATCAAAAGCCACTTGGCATGAGAGGGAGGGTTTGAGTGGGTTTAGGTGGTCTAATAAAAAAAATCCACCGAGTCTTACACTACCGCAGTCTCTGCGGTGGGCCTCAATGCATTTTCCCTCCCTTTACAAAAAAAAAAAAAAAAAAAAAGCCTCTGTTCTCTGGCATTTGGCTTTAAGAAAGCTTCTTCTCGCTTCTAGCTCCTGAGTTTAAAATTCCTAACAAAAGCCTCTTTCACCTCATCTTCCTCTACAATAGCATCCAGGTCTCGGATCTGTAATGTTTCTTTTCTCTTGCTCATTTTGACAATACCCTGTCTGGCTACTGACTTTTTAATTTGCTGTGGAAATGGAATAAGATTCTCTCCACCTTTGGCCTCAATAAGTATGTCTCCTTTTCTGGTAGTGACAATACTTTATACGGCTACATTAGCCTCATCAGGGTTGAAGTTCGCATTTATCGTCTTCAGGACTTTTGCAAAGGTCTACCCTTGGGCCATTTTTACTACTACTGTTGTTTTCACATTCACTTATTTATTCTGGCTTGTTTTGTCATTCAGGAGAATCTCTTCTTGTTTGCCACTGCCTGTTTTCTTTTTCTTTGAAGTCATGGTTTGCTGGCATTTCTCAGGGCTGTCGGATGGGCTCCTGTTTTTTTTACTTCGTTCTATTTCCTCTAGGGCAGTGTTCAGGGTTTGTTTGTACATGCCGTCGAAAACTACCTCGCTTTTGTTTCCTCCACTGCAGGGATTCAAATGATGCCTTTCAAGAGTTTTCGAACACCTCTTCTTCAGAAAGAAAGCCTTTTCTTATTACCTTTCGCTATTCAAGTAGTGAGAGTGAGACTTTGACCCTATTCTTAACAGCGTTTGCTGTGTTACCACACTTGTCGTTGACTGCTTGTAGCGTCTCTGTAATATCTTTCGTTGCTGACTGAACTTTATCAGCCACTTGCTGTCGCTTTACTCTAAATTTAGCACCATTTTCTTTTAAGAAGGCAAGCTCCTTCTGGGCCAGGTGGCTTAATACTGACACGTTGCTATCCTTTGTGTTGTTGGTGCCTATGCTCGACAGACTCCTTCTTTGTCCTATGTCTGTGAGAAAGGGCCATGGAACATTTAGCTGTCCCTGTTGGCCCTGAGACACGTCTTTGTGTCCCCCCTCCCAAATTCGTGGGGCCTGAGACAGTCACCCGGGCTTTCACTGGATCGGAACTGCCGGCGGATTTCTCAGAGAGGTTACCGCCTTGGTTATAAGTTTTGCATCTACGTTTGTCATATAAGCATCTTTTTTAATGTTGTACTGACACGCAAAGGCCAGCTCTACCCTTTTTTTTACAAATGAATATTTAGAAAGGGTTAAATCTAGGGCAGGGGCCGTCTCTGTTACCAGAGAGAACCGCCACTTGCTTGGGCCTGCCGGGAGTCACCACTCTCTCTCAGCCCTATCCGCGGAAACTGCCCTGGCGTTGAGAAATAAGTATAAGAATGGTGTTTGTGTG